TCATAATAATGAGATAGCTATCTCATTATTATGAGATAGTATCTCATTATGAGATGCTATCTCATTATTTTGAGATAGTATCTCATTATTATGAGATAGCATCTCATAATAATGAGATAGCTAAGTCATAATAATGAGATAGCTATCTCATTATTATGAGATAGTATCTCATTATTATGAGATAGTATCTCATTATGAGATGCTATCTCATTATTATGAGATAGTATCTCATTATTATGAGATAGCTAAGTCATAATAATGAGATACTATCTCATAATTATGAGATAGCATCTCATAATTATGATATGTTATCTCATAATAATGAGATACTATCTCATAATTATGAGATAGTATCTCATAATAATGAGATAGCTAAGTCATAATAATGAGATAGCATCTCATAATAATGAGATAGCATCTCATAATGAGATAGCATCTCATAATAATGAAATAGCTAAGTCATAATTATGAGATACAAGTTTTATTTTTTCATCAGGGTGGCGGAAATGGGCTTCCATACTTTTAAGCATTTCTTTTACGAGTTATTGGTTCTTTATTGTTTTTCCTGCMCTGTGACACCGGGGAGGGCACTGGTAGTGAGGTCATCCCACGGAGCACACGGCTGCAGAGCAGAGGAGGAGTGGAGCGGAACAACGTCGACATCAGCAGGCGACGGTCACCTGCAGAATGTAGTCTCCACGAAAACTCGACCAACGATCAAGACTTGCAGCGGTGAAAGAAGCAGAAGTGTTTTCTTCAGCGTGGTGAAAATGAAGGAGTTGAAGGGCTGCGGTATGCGCTCCTCCGTGGGCTTTATGTCTCGCAGGGAGCTGACAGGACAGCCGCTGATGAAGGAGGAATTCCAGAGACGCAGGCTGGCAGGCTGCACCAGTCTCTTCAAGAAGAACATGGAGGGACATTTCGGCTGCGTCAACGCCATTGAGTTTTCCAACAACGGCGGAGAGTGGTTGGTGTCTGGTAAGTTGCAGGGGAGTTCTTACCTTAGCATGCTAACGCTAGGAGCTGTCAGCTGAAACGGCTCCTGGGCTAGCCGATTTTCAGTTAGCCTAGCTTGTTTTGCTAGCTTGTGCAGCTCCGCAGGCAGAGCGACACTAGGCTACTTTCACATGCCAGTCTTTAAAACGCCAAGTTGTGTCGCTAAAGTCTACGTTTTTTTGTGTCAACGACAAAGACCTTTCGAAATGGCAACGCGTTTTCTCTTCAGAGAGGATTAAAATAATCATCTGGCCCAGTGTGACACCTTTTGCCATTTTGGCGTACGCCTTCATGTCTTTACTCTGCTGCTGACTGAAGATCCTCATGGCAGCCTTTAAGAAATTGTAATTATGAGCCATTGTGCTAATTCTGCTGCATTTATATTCTTTTGAACGTTGATTGGTGTGCACTGTCCTTTAMAAACAATAACAAATCACCTGACATTAAAAGCCCAATATTTGTCAAGAGTTTGCTCTAAGTGAGGATAAATTCCTTCTTTAAGATGTGTGTTAAATGTAGCCTTCAGAGTATTTTTGTTAAGTTTATTTTGTGCACATTTATTGGCACAAATTACCCACACAGGTGATTATGAGTACAATTTTGACATGAATGGTATTTCAGATTAGAGCAACTGATAGTAACTACACACAGAGCTGATGTATTTACAGATTTTTGTTTTCCTGCAGGAGGAGATGACCGGCGAGTGCTTTTGTGGCACATGGAGAGAGCCATTTATGCCCATTCAAAGCCTGTAAAACTGAAGGGTGAGCACCTCTCTAACATCTTCTGCCTTGCCTTTGACAGCTCCAACACCAAGGTCTTCTCTGGTGGTAAGTGAAACACACACGTCATGTTTGTTCCGCTATAATATAATTATGGCTGCCACGATTAATCGACGACTAATCGATTATTAAAATAATCTATGACTAATTTAATAATCGATTAATCGTTTTCTGTTTGTTTTATTTTTGTTGTTCTTTACTTTGTTTTTCTCTCCAAACTGCTTTGATGCCTTCCACTTCCACATTTGCCTTTCCTCTGTCCTTGACACACATGCACAGTAGTGGTAACTGGGGTAGGCGGTGGACGTCACAAGACATTATACAGACAGGCTC